AAACTGCTGTTTATCATTTACGTTTTATTTGATATCATATTTTCAAGCTTCTACAGGATGCATTCTTTGGAGTTGGTTCTGATATACTTTCTCCACGAAAAATTGGGAGCCCTGTACCTGAAAACGTTGAACTTGGAGCTCAATGTTTTGCAACAATGCAGACACCACCCGAGAACTTCTTAATATCATGTGGCAACTGGGAAAACAGCTTTCATGTCATATCATTAAATGATGGCAGGATGGTCCAGAGTATCCGACAGCATAAGGATATTGTAAGCTGTGTTGCAGGTGAATTATTTATGGCATCTTGGGTCAGAGAGAACTCATATTTTCTATTCACAGATGCCGGCCGCTTATACACAGATTACAAATAAAATTTATACAGGGAATAAAATCAAATAAAAATGAAATATTAAATAAAATGAAATATTAAATCCCATGATCCCATCTAATCATATCCCTATATTTGAGGAATGAATCTCTCTAATAAAATACAGTAAATATTAATTTTGACTATTCTCAAATTATTATTCATAAAGTATCCCTGATCAGATGACTTTATTTTTTGGGGGAAAGAACAGGAGAAATTTTATTAGGAAAATAAGGTATCTTCCTGAAGTGAGAAAAACAGTCTTGAACATATAATGAAAGTAGGACTTGCTGGAATAAATATTGGAAGGATCAAGAGACTTACCTATCTTGTTCAAAGTAGAAGAACGGGTCAGATCACAGAGAAGCAGAAGTTGAAAGTATTCTTATTAGCAGGACCCCTTGTAAAGGTCTTGAAAATAAAAAGGAACACTCCTCATCCAAATATCCTCCAGATTTTATATGTGGACCATCTCCTCCCCTAAGCAAGACTTGAGTTCTAAAAGAGGCATAGCCCTGAGAGATGAATTTTCATGGGCGAACAAGAGTAGCTAAGATTTCTGGGTTCACATACCTGCAATTGTGTTTTAAATTATAATGACCCTAGATAACTTGAGTCCATGTTGAAAGAATTCTAGAGGAAAACACCATAGCTGTTTGTTTTCTTTGAAAGCAGGTTTTAGGACACAAAATTACCAACGCTTTAAATTTTCTCCCACTCCACTTCAGCCTATAACAAACCTTCCAACTAAGAAAACGATATCTTCCCGTCCCAGAATTTTGATACCAAAACCATCTCCCATCCCTCCTGATCTTTTCTGACCTTGGGCCGCTACCTCTGGAATCTGAAAGAGGGCAAGTTTAGAAAAGGCATACTGAAGGACAATTGACAAGAGTAAATAAGAGTAATACAATTTCTCAAAGAGCAAAGAGAACATTCTAATCATCCAAGTGTTCCAGCATATTTGATGGGTTAATATGCCATGTTATTTGAAAGAAGTTGAAGAGTGAGTAGTTGATCGTTAAAATCACACTTCATGAGAACACTAATGTTCGTTTGGAGCATTATTTTTCTTGATTTTGCTCTAAACTGATACTGAGGATAATGCTGGGCTGCAAGCCTTATTTTTGAAAAGGACCGAGCGTTGTACTTTAAAGAGAGGCAGGCTGGGTGCATTACTTAAATAGTTTCTCCTGTGATCTTGCGAGTACAATAAAGATATACGCAATTTTCTGCGATCTGTAATTGCAATGTTTCCTTTGTTTATGGTTGTGTCAGAACTCATAACTGTCACATATTCTTTTATGCTCGATTTTGTATTTTCTTTTCGTCATCAGTATGTTTCAATATCTTCTACTAAATATCATATTTGGTCTCCATCAAACAAAGAAATAAATTTAAATTTTCCTTGCTTTATCTGACTAGAGCGTGATATCTGGCTGCAGTTACATCTGACGGAAGTATCCTTGCAACTGGCAGTTATGACACAACTGTGATGGTTTGGGAAGTTTTCCGTAGCAGAACCTCGGAAAAGAGAATTCGCAACTCTCAGTCTGAGTTGCCCCGTAAAAACTATGTCATAGTTGAAACCCCATGTCACATCCTTTGTGGGCATGATGATATAATAACATGCTTACATGTCAGTCTTGAGCTTGATATCATAATTAGTGGATCAAAAGATGGAACTTGTGTATTCCACACCCTGCGAGAAGGAAGATATGTAAGATCCTTACAACACCCTTCGGGCAGTCCAATATCCAAGCTAGTTGTCTCCCATCATGGTCGGATTGTCATATATGCTGATGGTGATCTCAGTTTGCATTTATATTCAATTAACGGCAAACATCTTGCTGCCTCTGAATCCAATGGGCGTCTCAATGCTGTTCAATTGAGTAGGTGTGGTGAGTTTTTGGTTGGTGCGGGCGACCAAGGGCAGATAATTGTTCGCTCTATGAACACTCTTGAAGTTATAAAAAAATATCAAGGGGTTGGAAAGATGATAACATCTCTGACTGTAACACCAGAAGAATGCTTCTTAGCTGGGGCAAAAGATGGAAGTCTTCTTGTGTATTCCATAGAAAATCCTCAGCCTCGCAAAGTTGGTAATAATAGGAATACAAAGTCAAAGCACGCATAGCAGGATAGATCAATAATAGCATGCAGACGCAGATTCATGTGGAATTTGAAGTTAGAGATGACCTGTGTTGAAAATTCCAGGTACGATGTGGTCTCTCGTTTATGACCATTTCTTGGTTCCTTTTCAACTCCTCCTTCACAAATATTTGTGCTTATATCTGTACTTATGGAACTTCCTGCCAATTGCCTAGATATGAACTTCCCCTCAATTCTCTCTCCACGATTACTGATATATTTAGAACGTTTTGGATTTTTTTTTATTTTTTTATTTTAACCAAAGAGGTTGTTTTGGAATTGATTGTCATTAGAAATAGGAGCCATTCTTTGTTTTATTCGAGTGTATGTAATATCTCAGCATTAGTTGATCCATATAAATTAAAATGATGAATTATGTTTAGTGTTGCTCCTTTTGTAACGGATTTCTGAATTATCCACTCTTGCTCTTCCATATGCATCGTCTGATTATCCATATCATATTTTTGGGCTAATGCCAATTTTTCAGGTACGAGATTATCTCAGACTTTCTTCCTCCGGTTTGTCATTTCCTAAGGCGTGTGTGGATATAGTAAGGTGCGAGAGATCATCGCTGTCCCTGAATATGGAAGCATACACAATTAAAAGCTTGGAAAGGATTCTAACTTGCAGATATCGACGCCTGGAGTCAATTGGTGCCTCATTCAGAAAGGTGTCCTCGAGTCAATTGATGCCTCATTCAGAACTTACTAATTTAGGAACGCATCCTCGAGTTTCTACTCCTATAGATAACATTATATTCATTAATTGTCCGACAGAATGGCTTGTAATATTGTGCATTAATGGTGTATCATATTCCCTCTTTTTTTTTCCCTTTTTTTTTGGGGGGGGGGGGGGAGGTGTTGGTGGGGGTGTGGTGGTGGTTTCCCAGCTAACTTGTTATGTAACAGTGGAATATTGTATAGACAGCAGGCTTTACTGCCTTATAGCAAAAGAAATTTTTGTACGGCGGAGTCATTTCTGCTGTTCACACTCGACTCGAGCAACTTCCACTTGCATGAAAATAAATAAAACAAACTTCCATGAACGGATTGTAAATAATGTATTTTGTATTCTTGAATGTTATGATCTAACGGTTATACAAGACATAACAATCATTCATCGGTTTTGTCAGAATTGGGTTGAATTGATGCCGGAATTGGCTGGGATCTTCACAAAACCGGTTTAAACGGGAAGCAGTCAAGAACAAGCTAGATCCGTCAGATATTTAAAAAAGAAGAAATGGCTTGATCACTGGTTAGAACAGTTTACGTTAGTTTTTACTTAAATATTTTAGTTGCTAGTACAAATGCAGAGTAATATTATATTTGAGATAACGCATGTATATTTACTTAATTGATAGTATGATAATGGATTGTTACTTGATATTTCGAGTTTAATGTGTTATTGACTTTTTAATATTAAGCTGTGATTTTTTAATTTGTAAGATAATATTTTAGTACATAAAATTTAAAATTTAGTAATTTATTTGCTGCTAGTATGTTGATTGATTACGTTAGTTTTTACTTAAATATTTTAGTTGCTAGTACAAATGCAGAGTAATATTATATTTGAGATAACGCATGTATATTTACTTAATTGATAGTATGATAATGGATTTTTACTTGATATTTCGAGTTTAATGTGTTATTGACTTTTTAATATTAAGCTGTGATTTTTTAATTTGTAAGATAATATTTTAGTACATAAAATTTAAAATTTAGTAATTTATTTGCTGCTAGTATGTTGATTGATTTAATTATCAGTCCTGTTGTTTGAGATTATACATCTCGAATGTTATTTTTTAAGATGGCATATTTTATTTGGATGGATTAAATTGAATATAAATGGTACAGTCAATTATGAAGGGTCACTTGCATACACTTGAGATCAAGATTTTAGAAAGGTGAAGTTTTTCTTAATTTTATATAAACTAAATTTTAACCCGTACAATGCACAAGGAAAAGTAAAAATTGAATGAAATCATACTTAGGAATGGAAGATAATGAAAGAGTCTAAGTTATTAATTTTATTTAGGTCCTTTGTATTGTGTTGTTTGTTGACGTTATTAATGAATTTTCAGTATTTATTAAAATATATATATATATATATATAATACAAGGCCACGGTAATAAACCGTGCAAAAAGACCAAATCAGGTCATCAAGTAACGTAGTGTCGAAATGGTCGCTAGAAGCCTTATGAGCTAGGAGATCTACACAACAATTTACTTCTCTATAGATGTAATCTAGGGTGACCTCCTAGTTCTTCATGATGAGATTTTTGATGTTTTTTATGATAGTTGAGAGCGGATGACCCTGAATTAGATTGCCATTAATGAGGGATATGGCTATATTCTAATTAAAACATGAGTAATAATACTATCAATGGTTACTGAATTGAAAAACATTAGCACCTATACAATTATAACACCAGTAAATATTACTCATGCTATTAAAACATAAGTGTCTAGCAAATACCACTAATACCATAACAATTAACATCCATGCTATTAATATATAAAAATTTACAGATGCTTCATATATAGAAATTAATCTAATGACTAAGGCTTTATTAGTCCTCCATTACATTTACTTGCTTGTTAGTAGTAACAAAATGCTATTTTTATAGCTCAAACTAACAAAAAACATAATAAGCTGACATATCAAAAGGAATAGACTTATTATCAGGTTTAACAACCTTCCAAATCATAATTGCACCATAATTGCCTCTATGGCTGCCCTCCTAAATGTTTGGATCTTAAATGGATCCAATAACAAAAGGATCAACTCCTGCCTTGCTTGCCTCTACAGTCCAATCCAAAAGTTAAAAAATGGAAAAAGCATGAAAAGCACAATAAAACGTAAAAGCGTGCCTTTTACATATAGTAAAAAAAGAAATAGTCTAAGCTTGCCTCTATTATATGGAAAAGGCACTAAAAGCATGCTTTGAATATCTTGCACTTTTCATATAAACTGGGTATTTTCAGGGTTTAAAATCAACATTCACTCTCAAAATCCCTTCAACATAATCATGACACAATGATAATTTTGAGAATCTAAATATCTTATTAATTTTTTATAGAAACAACAAAAATCAATTCAACATGGCATGAAAATCATGAAACTAGTCCTACCTTAGGCAGGTAACTAAGTGGTCATAATGACTATCTAGGGATATGTAGCCTTTTCTATGGAGATATGCATGTTGGGCGACATTAATGGAGGAGGTTCGTGCAAAAGTCAACTATCTATTCTTTATGTCTTGGGCTTAAAAGCACCGACACGCCAAAATGGCCGGCGTGTTCGTGTCGGATATTTATCTAACATGGACAAGTGTTCAGGATGGGGGAACGGCGCGTCCCTTTTCCCAATTTTTGGCGGACGCGGTCGGATGCGGGTTGAGATGGGTTGACACGGGCGGACACGGGTTGGACACGGGTGGACGCGAAACTCTATGTTTTTCACTTCTTTTTACTCAGTCCTAGCTCCAAAAATCTGATGCCCTAACATTTTCAGCTCCAATCAACCCCCTTCTCGTGTTTTTTGCTCTGTAGCTTCACTGCTTGTATTGGTCATTCTCGTTCTTCATCTCTCACATTTATTCATGCTGCTCACCGTCTGCTCTGCCTCAGTCTTCGTATTCAACTGTCTGCTCTGCCTCAGTGTCTTTGACCGTCTGCTCTGCCTATGCCTCACCATCATTCTTCAGCTTCAATCTTGGTAATTTATTCAGTTCTTCATGTACGGTCGTTCTTCGATGCACTGCCTCTCGTTCTTTATGTATCTATTGAATTTCTGGAGCTGGAACTTTAGTTCTTTTATTGTTATTGTGCTGCTGGCTGCTGCTTGTTGGATATTTATTTATTATTATTATTGCATTGTTGGATAATTTGCTCACTGCTGAACTGAGAGAGGTATTCAGCTAGAGCAATTGATTAGTTTTTCAAATTTAACACTGAATTACTGATTTAAACTTTTTTTATTTAGATGGATTATTTTGTTGAGCTAAACATTGATTTATTTTAAATTTTTATTAGCTCTCTTCTTGTTAAATTGCAGGATATTGTTTAAAATTAAACATGCAATGGCTTCTAATTCTAGACCCGGTAGTAGTTCAGGAAGTGTGAATTCTCAATTTCAATTTAGTAATGAAAGACAGAAAGAGAGTACTCCTTTATGGGCTTATGTAACTTTGGTTCCTCAAGAAAATGAAGGGGATGGTGGAAATAGAAGTTGGAAGTGTAACTATTGTAATAACCAATACAATGGCTCTTATTCTAGAGTTAAATTTCATTTGTTGAGGATCTCTGGAAAGGGTATTGCTATATGCCCAAAAGTTGATGATAGTTGTTTAGGTGAAATGCGAAAAGCTCAAGAGGAGGCTGAGAATAGAACAAAACAAGACATGTGCCATTGCCAACTCCAACTAAGAGCTTGTCTCCTTTATATCAAAAAGGTTCTACCCCTATTCAAAGTGAACACAATCAGGAAAAAAGGAGGGCAATAAATACAATAGAAAGAGCTTCCCAACAAGGAGTTAGAGATAATTTAACTGCTGAAATTGCTAAAATATTTTATTCGGCTGGCTTGTCTTTCAATTTGGCACGTAACCCATATTTTATTAGTGCATTTCAATATACTGTCAACAATGTAATTCCTAGTTTTAAACCTTCGGGTTATAATGAACTAAGGTCTACTTTGTTGCAAAAAGAAATGGCCAATGTTGAAAAGCAACTTGAATCAATCAAAGGGACTTGAAATCATAAGGGGGGAAGTATAGTTATGAATGGTTGGACAAAAGTACAAAGAAGGCCATTAATTAATTTTATGGCTGTAAGTGATGGAGGCCCCATGTTTTTGAAGGCAATTGATACAACTAGTGAGTATAAAGACATATTTTACATGGTTGACTTGATAAAGAAAGTGGTCGAAGAAGTGGGGCCTCATAAAGTTGTTCAAGTAATTATCGATAATGCATTTGTTTGTAAATCTGCTGGTAAGATGGTGGAAGATGAATATCCTCACATCTTTTGGACACCACGTGTGGTGCATACACTTAATCTTGCCTTGAAGAATATATGTGTAGCAAAAAATGTAGAGGCAAATGAAATTGTTTATGGAGAATGCCGTTGGATCACTGAGGTGAGGGATGATGCAATCTTTATTCGAACATTTATCATGAATCATTCTATGAGATTGGCATGTTTAATGAATTCGTGCCATTAAAATTGCTTGCAATAGCCGAAACAAGATTTGCATCAACAATTGTGATGTTGAAGAGATTTAAACTTATCAAAACTTCTCTTCGTACACTGGTTATTAATGAAGAATGGAATGGTTATAGAAATGATGATGTTGGAAAGGCTACTACTGTGAAGGACATAATTCTTAATGATCTTTGGTGGGATAAGGTTGATTATATTCTCTCTTTTACTAAACCAATTTATGATATGTTGAGATTTACTGACACAGATAGACCCACACTTCATTTGATTTATGAGATGTGGGATTCAATGATAGAGCAAATCAAGGAATCAATTTATAAGCATGAGAGAAAATCACTTTCTAAGTACTTTTCATTTTATGAAGCTGTTTATAACATCATCATTGATCGATGGACAAAGAGTGCCACTCCACTATATTGTCTTGCCCACTCACTGAATCCTAGGTGTGTTATTCTTATTTTTGATCATGAAATTCTTTTCTTTATCATTTTTACATTACAACTCCAATTAATGTTATTATATTATTATAGGTATTATACAACACAATAGCTTGAAGGTGGACTAAATAGAGTCTCTCCACATAGAGATGTTGAAATATCAACTGAGAGAAAAAAGTGCATTAGAAGGATGTTTTCAGATAAAGAAGAGAGGAAATTGCTTATGAATGAATTTTCAAAGTTTTTTAGATGTTCAGATGAGTTCTCTTTTGTTGATTCCATACAAGATAGATGGATATTAGAGCCTAAGGTTTGGTGGAGCAATCATGGTGCTGATGCTCCTAAACTTCAAGGGACTGCATTAAAACTTATCAATCAAGCATGTTTATCATCTTATTGTGAAAGAAATTAGAGTACTTACTCTTTGTTCATTCACTAAGGAGAAACAAGATGCTTTCAAAAAGAGTAGAGAACTTAGTTTTTGTTTATTCAAATTTTTGTCTTCTTTCAAGAAAGAGTGAGAAGTATTCCATTAGAGAAAGTAGATTGTGGGATATTAGTGGAGATTGTTAGGAAATAGATGATGTTGAAAATCTTAAAGTTGCAAGTTTATCTCTAGATGAGCTAATTTTGGAGAGAGAACTTATAGGAGAAAGTGGTGGTGTCAATGAAGATGGAGAATATTAGAATTACTTTGAGTTGATAATTATCTTTTGCCACTTGATAGTGTTTAAGTGCTTGACTATTTATTGTATTATATTTTGTGAAGCATTAGGCATCTTGAAATTATGTTTTTAGGCATCCAAATATTTAATATTTAATTATTTGTATAGCCATACCTGTATCCTAAAATTTTAAAAAATAGTCATATCCGCGTATTATATCGTATCATACTCGACACTCATACCTGTATCGGTGCTTCTTAGATCTTGGATGAAGATAAAGACCAACCTATCCAAGGATATATATGTCAGGTACTTGAGTGAAACCGTTCAATAATTGAAGGACAACGGAGGGTAAAAATATAGTAAAAACATCTACGGGCAGTCCCAAAAACTGAAGGAAGGACACTTTTTTCTTTCTCATAGTTTCTAGTACATAGCTCAAATTGCTATTTGTAAAGGAATGAAAAAAGATTGAATATGTAACCCACGAAGCATGGCTAGAAGGGAAGAACATGGATGTGAAAATAGATTATGTGCATATGTAAATTTGTATGACATACGGGTGAGGAGGTGTATACACGTTGAACTTTTTAAAAGCATTGCACCGTGCCATTGTTAGCATGTCCCTAATTTAAACTCCAGTTTGACAAGCATTGTAAGGTATATGCAACAAATTAAACAAATGAAATGGTTGGAAGACTAAAATGATAAACAAAAAAATAAACATAAAGCTAGCAATTAGATTTGAATTGATAGTTGAGAAAAATAACTTTTTCAATTTTTTTAAGTTACTATCTCCACATAACTGACGTATTGTTCAGTAGTAGTTTACCACACTAGGCACCATATATACAACACTGCACAGGAAAGGTTAAATCATGCTCTTCTGGACAGGATTAATGGCTCTGGGACCAAGGTACAAGGCTGTATGAACCTTTTTTTTTTTTTTCCTTCGCAACTTACTATAAAAAGACAAAAGAGTGTGTAACTGATCATCCATTATGCACGGGTCTGGAGTACGATAAGATGTCAACTTAAAGAAAACAAAAAAAGAGAAAAAGCTAATTGTTGCACTCTGCGCTAGGTAACGAAGCGACTAAAAAAGGACACTCAACATATTACCAATGTTGGAGTTCACTACATGTTGAATATATATATATATATATATATTCACTTAAAGGCTTAAAGCATAACATGAATCCTGGAACATTTTTGCAATTTACACCGGAAAATGAACCAAGAAAGTCAACCAATAAAACAAAAGCATAGGCAGTGCTCAATCGTTGCAGACCAAAATGAAACTAATTAATAGTTTAATCTCTTTGATTAAGGATCTATCTTCATTAAACAAATAAAGAAACTAATTACTGCAGGCCACTCTTTTGCGGCCAAAATGCATGCCTTTGTAAGGGCCTATGACTTTCACTTTGTGGTTAAACAAAATGTCAGCATCAATGATTCTTGCATCTAAAATTTCTTTACCTCTTATTTCTCCAGCTTGCACTTTGGAGTCATACTATCTAATTTCTGCCAATTCATCAAAAAAAGTAAATATACAATCAAATGTGATGAATTCAAGCAACATATTAACAAAAGATAGGAGAGAAGAAAGAGCAAGGAATCAACACAACTTATAAATTTCTCACAAGCTTAGAACTATCCAGTACTGAAATTAAAGAAAGCTTTTAGTTACTTACCTATGTTAGATGGCTTTGATCTCCAAAACCACGACTCAATATTAAACTACTGAACTATAAATAACTATAACTAACTCATATATAAAGCATTCAAACCAACTTTTTATTAATCTTCTGCCATGTAAACAATTATAAAATTTTTTCAATATCAAAATTAGAGAAAAGGCACATCCCGTACTATTATTAGTGGAGATTATATTTCCAACTTACAATGCAAAGCCAAATGAAATTTTTAAGCTTGTGATTTAGAAGCTAAATGACACCCTTAATATATAGTATACAATTTTGCTTATCATTAAATACAAAAAATGGGGGATTAAAATGCTTATAAGTAAAGGTAGTGAATGTGAGTCAACTTTCACCAACACCCAAATTATGGAAGCTATTTTAAACAAATGCAAGCCATAAAATGCTGTATTGAATTTTGTTTCCTTTAAAAAATGGAGAGAGAGAGCGAGCCGGTGCATGAATCATTACCACTGAAGTTCTTTGAATCAAATTAAATAACACGTATATTTTGCAAATAAACTATCTGAACAGCACCTAACTAATTTCCTAATTATCTACTAAACTACTACATTATTGCCTACAATTAGTGAACCTCCCTTCTCGAATGCTATCAATTCTATTAGGATATACAGATGGCTTATCATATAACATGCAATTGACAGGTTCTCATTAATTTGCATACATGATTTGAATACAACTAGAACGGAATATGTAATGAACATTGTTTTTGGGTCGACTCTGCTATCAATTGTTACATAGATACATATAAAAAAATATCTTAATAGTTCTAGAATTCATTAGCACCTTAGAAATCTCCCCTCATTCTTAAGTACCTACATATAAACACACTAACTTTCAGGTGTTACCGACAAGATGGCCCTTTGTGCTATTCCGAGCGGCAACCAAGATCGATGCTGATTAATATTTCTCAGGAGGAGGCATTAATCTCTAGAGAAGGGTCTTTCCGCTTCTTTGTTTCTTGCTTAGTCTTCATTGCTTGGTTGTGAACTGCAAAACACAGTTGTGACGATCTCAGAACAATACTTCCAAACTTGACTGTGCATGCATCTAGCTTAGTCAATACATAAACCTGAAAGTACTTCCAAACTTTGGAAGTCTGAAAATAACAAATAGAGCCAGAGGAGGGAACACAGATCAAAAGAACATAACGACAGTCCAAAACAAAAACAAAAATCAAATTGGGTATACAAAGAAACCAACCAGAGGAAATCAACATAATTCTTGGCCGTGTTCTTCATCAACCCCAATCCTTTGCTGCGTTCCTTTTTTGATTGTGTGCATCTGTGTTTCTATCCAATGCTTGCACACACATTGAATCAAATTAGCGATTTCATCGGAAGTCGCTTGAGAATGTTTGTGACGATTTTATCCGATCCCTATTTTAACACTCCAAAATGGAAAATGGAGAGAGAGAGCGGGAGGGACAGAGATGCTTACAAGTGGTGAAGAGCAATGATAGGACTTTGGTGAGCCTACGGACCAAGTGATGCCTTTATCATGCGACCTTTTCATAGGTCCTCTCCAATTGCAAACAGAGAATTTTACTATGCTCTTGCATAAAATATTGTGAAGAGTAGAAGAAGGATGCCGATGAGGAAAAATCAGAGGCAGCGAAAGTCGTGGTGTTGGGGCAACAACCTTCCAAGTGAACCTGGAGATGCGAAAAAGGCCAAATTTGCTCCGGAAGTGCGTAACTTAGTCAGATGTAGTCTATAGGTTCTCTAATTTTTGACGTTCACTCCAGTCCTTCGCTGCTTTCTCTTTTTGATTATATGCCCCCATGTTAATGTGACCTCCAGAAGTCATAGGGGAAAAAATTTCAGAAATTGTGTGCAAAAAAATTTAGGGAATTGTGTGCATGACCTGATCAAGAAAAACAGATAGAAATGGAAGAAGAAACTACAGAGAAGAACCATGGACGCACAGTTAAGGTTGGAGAGTTGGAAAGTTGTTTACCATGCAAAGGGATAAAGGAGAATTCAGAAAACGTATTGGATTGGCAAAGCCTGAGTGCCTGACAATGAGTGAAGGATTAGGAAAAAAGGTCAGAAGTGCTCAGAGTGGAAGTGTGCAACAAAACAAGCCAGTTAGAGAGAAAATGAGCCGTCACTATTCATTGCTCCCGGATTATGAGTCTAGAGCTGATGACTTTTTTCGGCGAGGTTGTTAGACTATTAGGAGATATATAGAAAATAGATATTCCGTTGGACTCCAAATTTAAGTAGGTTGTTTTAAAAAAATTGCATACTAATAAAAATTTTCATTCTTATGAATAAATAAATAAATAAATAAATAAATATATATATATATATATATTAATTTTTATTTTTATTTTTAGTCCCAATTATTAATGTATTTATGACTTTAATAACCTAAATATATATATTAATAATAATAAAAATAATTTAAAATTTATGTTAAGATATGTTAATTATATTTTTATATGTTTAGGGGGTACTTTGCCGAAGTAAATTGGTTGCTTAGTGGCGAGTATCATTGATTTCTTTTCTGCTTAAGAGCCACTGAGATCTCCATTCCTCTGTCCATGTGAGCTTGCAAGGGTTCAAGCTTTCTCCTCCATTTACCTTTGTCCATGACCGTCCGCCGTTGGTGAATGTGGAAGCGTCGGAATCTTCCTCCTCCGACAGTGTGGCAACGTGTGCATATCAGAATCCCTCTCCCCTGTGCAGCTCGCGATCTTCTTTTCCTTCTTATATTTTTGTTGTGGTTTGGGTTGCGTCTGGTCTCCCTCTCCTTAATACCGTTGCCGTGCAGAGGTGAGGTGCTTCAAAAACGCCTCCTCTCTTCTGGCAATCAGATCTGTGCGTGAGTGTGTGTATATTTGGGTGACTAAAATTCTGATTTCCTTCTCTTGTTTAGTTGTCATATTTAAATCTTAAAAGAAGAATTTTAATTATTTAAATCTTAAAAGAAGAATTTTAATAATCTGGAATTTACAGCTTAAATGAGCAGTTCCATTAAGTAATTTTGATATGGTTGCTTTGGTTATGATTATGAGAGATAAATGTGAACTTGGGTTTTTTTCCTTGAGGTCAAAACTGATTTTTCTTCTGAGAATATGGAATTGGAGAAGTTGGTTCAATCTAAATATTTATAGAGGAGAATTTTTGGGAGATGGAATTGAATAGGAAGAATGTCATAAAAGTTTGAAATTTAATGTCAAAAGGTGTTCAATAAAATAATTAAGAAGGAATCTTATTATATAAGGGCACTAAATATTATGATTATATTATTGATTAAATAAAACATCATTAGAAGGCAATTGTTCATTTTAATGGAAGTTGGGAGGTATGATTAGTTCAATTATTGATAAAAAAAAAAACCTTTGAAAAGGGGTTTAGAGAAAAATGTTGGATATTATAAATATTTTTGAGTATTTCAAAAGGAATTATTATAAATTAATTATTATTTAAGTCTATTCATTATTTTATAACATAAAAGTTAAATAATATTATTATTTGAAACCGTTTTTTAATTGTGATTAAGGTGGTTTTATCGCCCAGCATTATGAGATCTGTCTATAAAAGGCAATACTTGTCACAGGTTCAGAGAGAGACTTGATACTCTCGACCTTTCTCTCCTCTTCTATCATTCTAGTTCATTATGTAGTTACCTGAGTATTATGTGAATTTGTGTTGTTCTGTGTCCCTACTTTTAGTAGGAAGAGTCTGTTTAATCTTGGGGAGCTACCGCGCGATCAACCCGATGTGGCGGAATAGCTTTTAAGGATAGTGTCCTTGGGCATGACTCAGACTAGATTTCATCAGCTATCGCCAACAATCTTAAAAGCTATTTTTAACATGTTATGGCTGTAAGACCCAGTAGAGACATGTGGAGAGGCAATGAGTTTTGATGGTTTTATTAATAGAGTTAAGTGTTGGGGCACGTGAGTAAGTATATGCTGAAATGGGCAATGGTGAGTATGAACATCAAGAATGCCAAATTTTTTCCAAAATCCAAACTCATTTAAGACCTCAGTGGCTATGCATTTGAGTCCAAGCATGAATACCACATGCTTGTGATATTGGCAAAGTGATTGAATGTTGTGTACGGAGAGCATTCACAATCCTTCAGCTACCAAATAATTGTGGAAGTCGACCCCACCATAGCTACGAACGTATGGCTTAACAGAATCTAATTGGTCCATTGCAGTTCTTCCTCCTACACGAACATGGGGTCCTATCCTATTTCAGGTACCTATATCTTTCTACATTTTGAAATTGCAATTTGTAATGCTATTTTAGTAGTTAAGAATAGGCATAAATGCGAATGTGTGTTTGATAGATTAATAGAGATGAGACATCGGTAATATGAGCACACCTCATCCACAAGCTTGATAGGATTTGTGGCTTGAGTTTGATGCAGAAATATTTAGATACTACGATATGCATGGAAAAAGCTTCGTAGAGGAGTCAACTAAAGGGAATTCATTGAGAAAAAAAGAGGGAAAAAATATAAACATATTGGATAATGACAACCAGATATGATTCTTAGGCCTATCATAAGGGTTGGAGTATGTGGCTATTTTTTTTTTTTCCTCTGGAAAATGGCAGATGATCAAATGAAACTATAAATGGTGATGATTAAACTAATTTAAGGAATAAATTTTAAAGGCCATTATTGAGTGCATGACCCCTTCAACAATTATAACGAGAATTTTAATTTGGCCGATATGAACAGAAACAATTCAGCAAACGATTGGGATTTACTCAGCAATCATTAATAAACTGCAATGATTAGAATTTATTATTTATTATCATTTCCATATCAGTTGTATGAAAGCTTTGGGTTTTTCGGTCAATGAAACCGTTGGAATTAAACCTTAATATTTTGTTTATATTAATATGGCAGAATTTGCAATTTTCTGTGATAGTATATTATATATATATATATATATTAGTTTGATGAACTTAATAATTTTCAGAGAATTAAAATATTTGCAATTTGATGATGTCGAATTTGTATTGTTATGTGAATTTATTAGTGCATTCAATTTTGTGGATATTACGTTCAGATTCTTGACTGGCCGAGGGAGATATTGTTAAGTTTTTACGTTTTGAGCAAGAATAAATTGCTTTGATATGATACCATATTTAATATGCTTTAAAGTATCCAAATGTGGGTGCATGGCATTTTTTTTACCGTAAAAAAAGGAACTGATTAGGCATCACTTCAAATATCAATGCCATTAATTTGTTGAACTTATATTTCAAATATTTATTATGGCACCATAATATCTCATAATAAAGTTAATTTATTTGATTGGTAAAAGTTATCCAATATTCTTTGATTGAATACATTGCTTTATTTGCCTTTATATTTTAAGATGTAATTACTTTATTTGTTGCATAGCTTATTTAAGTTAAGGCGTGAGATATTTGAGAAGATATATGTAAAATTTGTTTTTGGAAATTTGTTGACTACATTAATTTGGTGTAGGCACTGATTATTAATTTTTTCTAGCTTTAAATAAAAAATATTATATATGGTCTTTGCTTGCACTGCTTCGAGCACATGCCAGAATATAATTTTTGATCATTCCACAAATTAATATCTAAAATGAGGGGTTGTGTGTATGTATTGATATGTTTATGATGGATTCAAAATTCTGAGAAAATTAGAATGGGAGATATTGTACGGCAAGATTCTAATTTGATAAGAATCATTATCCATGAGACATGAAATATTTAAAAGTGTGGGTGATGTTTAGCAAAAATTATTTTACTTTATTAAAAAATATATATATACATGTGTTGTACTAAATTGTTAGCATCATTTTATAAATACCAAGATATTATTCTATTGTGATTTAGAGGAAAATTAATTAAAAGGAGGCTATTATTTGCATGATGGAAAAATTTGTTAATTATAAAATTTTTGTCGCTTAGCTTGAAACAAGCATTGTAATAGTGATCAAAATTTAATTATTTATCTAGTGTAGACAAATTTATTTTAAAATAGGTATGTGACCGGTTTAATTATCTTGGCATCAATATTCATGTTTATGAATAATGATTTGTTTATTCCAAAGGTGGATAATATGTGTTATGGTCTCATGAAATAAATAGAATATTTTCTAAATTATGGATTGTGAATAGTAGACCCTCGGTGTATAAAATACATGGATATTAATGTGGGAAGATTCACTAGTGATTACCACCTTTAGTGATGATAGAAACAAGTATAATAACAAGATCATAAAGTTTTTACTCTAAAATTGGAGGCTAAGTTGTGAAAAATCTTCATAGTAATTATTTTGGTGTAAGTCTGACACTTAGTATTGATGAACATTTATGATATAGTTATGTTACGTAAAGATTGAGCATATCAAATAGCCTCATGAGAGGATGAGACAAATGAACATTTGAGAGATACCATAAATGTTGATATCACATAAAATGGATTTCCATTGTATTAAAATAATACAATGATGTAGAGTTAATTTTATATTCATGAGGAAAAATCCATTTATAGCCAAATAAAATGTGTGAGCCAAAGTATAATACTCTGAAGTTGGCTAAAAATGAGGTTAAGTAGTTCAAAAACTTCTTAGTAAATAATATTGCATTGAGAGTAAAACCGATACAGATTATGTCGATGATTTGTGTAATTGGCAAATGGCGATAGTCATTGCAAAGAGAACAATGGCCAAATGGTGATAGTCATTGCAAAGAGAATAATGGCATAGGTAGATATCGTTTGAGATATAATTAAGCATGCTAAAAAAGGAAGTTATCTCAATCGATTATGTAAGATCAAATGTAAATCTGATGGATCCGTTAACTTCCATATATGTTTGAATATGATATTTTAAAAAGGACTGCATGTAGAACACTTGTTGTTAACGATAGTTTTGTTAGTTCGTAGTGTACTATGATTAATGACTAGTTATTTTGTTTTTTTCATATGCTCTATCACGCCTGTTATTTGTGGGTTTTATATTTGCATTTGTTTCGTGGTTTCAGCTACGTTTAGTTAGTTATCTTGTCCTCGTCTGGTTAGTTACCACATAAGTTGTGTATCCATGTCTGTTATCTTTTTTGTAAAGTCCTCATAAAATTAATTTCATTGGATTCGTGAAATACAAGTCTCATCTTTCTTAACTAGTAAGTGTTTCTATGCCTATTTAATTATTTAATTTATTTGATTTCTTAATGCTAGATGATAAGTTGTTTATTTATTTTGAATTTAACAGTTCGATATTTGTGAAGCTTATCAAGATCTTTAAATTATCAAATTTGGTGGCCATATTATATTGATGAGTTCTTTTCAATTTATAATTATATGAACATATTCATTTACATTCTTCCAATTTTTTTATTGGGATGTTATTTATTGAAAGTGATTTAAATTTCAAATAGTATAGTTGACACTCAACCTCCTATTAAACATTAAGGAATCTATTACTAATCAAAAGTAATGGAGCTAAGAATTAATCTTTCTTTTAATATAAAATTTAAATTATTAAATTTTATTTTGTAAATTTATTCGTAGGTGCTCCACAATCTATAGCCAGGTTCTTTATCTTGTTATATATTTTATTTGTTGGCTAGAAGGAGTTAAACTCTTGAATCTTATCTTTTTAAATATTGTATTGTAAAAATTTTAGAAATTCAATTTATAAAGGAAGTTATGTTAAAATTTTTACAAAAATATTAAAGCCTTTGTTATAATAAATATTATCAAGGGCATCAAAATTTTAATATGAAATTAGTTACGTTTTTAGTAATGGAAAAAAAAAATGCTTGATTTGAAGCTTAAACGATGTGGGATATGACTCACATTCCATACCAGTAACCTATTTTGGTACGTGACTGAGTGAGAAATTTACAAGATCTAGGTTAATAAATGTAAAATAAAAAGTAAAAAATATTTTATCTATACTAAATTTTTTATATTTTGAATAAGACAGAGATATTAGAAGATTGCTTATGCAATATTGGTAAGTTTTGCACGTGCTCATCTTTAGCGAAGACAGTGCTTATGTCCATTGACCTGCACAATACACCCATAATATGAACGTCCAGTCGACGATCATATTGCATCTGCCTGAGCGCAGAGCAATAATAAGAAATTTCCTTTGTCACGGTCTCACACTTGGCAGATTAGCTGTCGGATTTGTTTTTACCTTTAGCTGTCGGATTTGATTTTACCTTTCGGCCTCCATATTATTTTTTTTTTCCTGAAAAAAAAAAAAGAATGATTGAAATACTGCATTTATTATATTTTTTGAAATTCTTGAAATACAATCAAATTTCTGTACAATCGCACAACCGTGTCAACCTTATGACTATATTATCAGGCAAATTACAGAGCGCAAAAATGCACATTTTCCCAAACTATAGAAACATACAACTATTAATGTTCGATAGTTGTTTTGAGACGAATGAAAGGCTCGTCGTCACAGAGCTAAAAGTTGCGCGGACATTAATCGCCATCAATTACTAGCACATAAACGCATTGTCCGCATTGAGTCCCCAGTCCCCAGTTCATCTCTCTCCTGGCTCCTCTTTGAGAGACCTTGAAATTTCAAGTCTTCCCCCATGCGCTTGCCAGTTCAGAGAGATCAGCTATCATTTTCCGTCTTTCAAGAACAAGATTTTGCGTGCTTAATGTTCTAGTGAGAAGAATTTCAAATAAAATGCATCTATTCATGAAAATCTTCATAGGGCGAGGATCCACTTGAAGAATCACTATCAAATGGAGTCGTCTCTCTAGGAGATGATGGGAGTGATTCTCTTTGTTGGGAGGACGAACCTGCAAAATATCTAGGTCAGGCCTCAAGTTATCATGTCTCATTACTCCGTAACATTCTCTACAAGAAACTATTTGATTAGTTCACCCAAAAAATGATTTGATTAGCAGAGGCATGCATCAGAACAAGGTCAAGTAAGAAATTTGGAACATGTCACTGGGAAAGATATCAGACCCAACTATGAATAGTTAAATTTTTTGGGTTAGGAACAGGTGGAATGCACCAGAGTACCCCCCAGGTTCGACAAACTAGACCTGGCAAACAATAACCTTTCGGTGAAATGTATAACGGTATGCTTGTTCCATTCAGTGGCAATCGTTTTGTCCATTGATCACAATGAAAATGTAATCAGGATGGAAGAAGCGCTTATACATACCTTTATGTCCTCTAGTGCGGAACTTCCTAGTGTGCCGCTTAATAAGCCTCTTAGCTTTGGTAATTGTGAGCTGCCGAGCAAAAGGAGAGAACTCTACATCACTTTCACTCCAATCGCCTTGAAAATCATTCTCTGCTTCACCCCTCATAGTCCGCAGAACAAATGCTTTTGCCTTCCGGCGCTGTGTGTTAAATAGTCCTCTAATGGATGTTACAAATCCATCACCCGCTCCATCACTCGGCCGCTTAAGCCAAGATGGCGGGTACTGATCAGATTTTCCGGCATGGCCTTCATTATCACTAAAATTGAGGTCAATTTCAGGAACACCAGCTCCACTAGGCTGACTGTGACCTTTGTCTTTAAATTTCCTACCCTACATGATTTTGCAAGAAAAATATAAATATATATGTTAAGTAAATTGATTAGAAAAGATTAACGTCATTAACACCAGATAGATATCCATTGAGACGTAGTATGATTTTCTTGATTGGTCATCGGCCCTCCTCAATGGCCACAAACAACACAGTAGTTTATCAAGGGTTGGGTTTATAACAAGATTGCAATGTTAATGTCCACATTAATTTGTGGCAGTAGATAGAATAGCAAATGTGAGTCAGAAGGATGCTACAAGGAAAGTAACATTAACAAGAAAATGAAGAGTAATAAGGATGCTGAGGGTCATTCAATACCTGCATTCCAGTCACTGACTTCAAGACTCCCCAGATGATGTGCTTCTTAACTTTTGAGAAGAGCCTTCGCCAAGTCCCAGTAAACTCAACCCGGTGAAATTGATCCATTAATAATTTCAAATCATTCACAACAAATCTAGACCCTTCATACGTAACCAATAACTCAACCTAAAAGAGAATAATAAACTGCATTCAGCCGAATTCTGAATTAATGTAAGTGATAGCAATTGACAGCTTCACCAAGATTACAGACCTGGCTAATTTTAATGTTGTGAAACTCCATCATTTTTCGAGGCCTAGATCTTTTCTCTTCATGCGACTTAGCTAACTTTTTCTCCTCATGTGATGAGCGACCAGCTTTGACAACTCTGGAATCTTTTGATTTATTCTTGGAGGCTTCGTCTTGTTGCTCAACAGAACTAAATGTACCAGTTTTTGAGGAAGAGAAGCTTTGTAAGACGAGTTCATTAGCTACAGATTCTGCTACAGTCTCTTCCCATGTTCTGTCAAAAGAAGACGTCCTTCTCAGCTCAGGGGTCGAACCATCTCCTGGGTTTGCTTTAACATTTGGTGATTTGGATGCCTGTGAATAGAAGATAAAAATTATACACCATTCTCGTAGCTATCCTTCCAGCACTGATCAAGAATAGCATTTCTGATTCTGACAGTCTAACTTGAGAGTGGTGCGATAAAGAATTCATCAGGGACTCACTTGGGCTGAATCAGCATGAAGAGAAGGCTGACCAGTGACAGGAAATAGCATCGCGGAGATGCCAGGTTTAGATGATGCTTCAGACTCTTTTATCAAGTGACTGTTTGAAGCGGAAGCTTCATGTACTGATGAACCTTTCTTTACCCGTCTCGCACCCGCAGTTGTTGAAACCTTCCAAACCTCCTGCATAAATAACCATAATTATGACGACTTCCCACACAAGCATAAATAATCATTAATTATAATCTGATGCAAAAATTCGGTAAATTTCAGTTTTTGTTATTAAGTCAATGTTGTGGTTAGAAGTCACTAACCTGTCGGCGTTGTGAATCTTGTTCTTCTTCTGGGAAGAAATACTCCCACATCATTCTGTACATTGTCTCAGTCAAATGGATCTTAAGGGGATAAATTTCTACCTGTAAAGCAAGGGCATATCAGGGAACAAAATTGTCAGTATTTATGCTATATGCTAACATTTTAATAACTAATTTTACTTTCTAGGTTTTGGTGTGAGTTTTCTTAAGGATCCAAAATAATCTTTAGAGGAATTATTACCTGGAAAAGTTCAAGGGGAAAATTTCCATCCCTCGGAGCTCCTTGTTTAGCATCTACTCGAAGCATGACACTTCTGAATATACGAAAAAGGAAAAGAACAGAATAGCACAGAAACACAGCAATATTTAATATACAGTTATTTCTCCCTTGCAAAATCTACAGAAATATTTAATAGATAAAACATCAACAATCATAAGGGATTTATCTTTCCTTTTCTGACAAGAGAAACTATTATACAATAAGTAAAATAGAGTGGATCCTTTTAAAAAGAGGAGAGCAAAAGCGGCTCAGGAATATATAAAAAAGCTGTCTACACTCTATGCGTCTGGTTAAATATTATATAGTGTAATTATTGCAAATATTATTAATACTAATATTTTGTATTAAGTAACTAGGAATTAGGATAGAATCAAGGGATTATCAATCCCTTAACATTAGCAATTTGCCTCCAGCATTTTTTTTTTCTTTTGCTTTCCTTTTGAATAAACACCCCTTGTATTATCATCTTTGAAACATCAGAAATATTCAGAGATTTGTCATGGTAACGGTCTTTGTTTGCTCCATTTGTTTTGCAGTCATTTCTGTTGTTTTTTTCCCCCCGTTTTTAGCCTTTGATAGACCGTGGCCTTAATTGCCATTGGGTCACCCTCCTCTGTCAATGCAGACACCAAAAGAACCCTTGGAACCACCTCAAAAACCAACTGGCACGGTCATCCTCTTATCCTCTAACCACCCAACCATGATGAAATTGTATCCGGCTAACTACAGTGCTGAGCCCATGATGACTTCAAGCAGTGATTCGCAGACCTTTTATGGCAGATATAAAGGGGAAAACTCTCTGATGTGGTTGAAAGTCCCAACGGAGAAATCTCCCACCACAGGCATACGTCTTTGCTGTTCCAAGGTACTATCACTCCATCTTCATCTAATGTCACCCAACTGTCACCTGGTCTTAATGCCTCACATAAGGTTCTTCTTGACTCTTGGGTCATATCTGGATCAACTGACCATATGACCGATTCTTCTCAACATATGCCAGGTAAAGAATTTGTGTTAAAAAAGGAGAGGAAAGCTAACACTTGAAGCCTATGTTGATGCAGACTATGCAGGATCTCTGGTCATTAGGAGGTCAACTATAGGCTATTTTCTTTTCTCAGAGGAAACTTTGCCAACTGGAAAGCAAAAGGCAGAATGCGACTGCAGGATCTAAGCAGAAGCTAAGTTCAGAGCTATAGCACTTGGAATCTTTGAGCTATCATGGATAAAAAAAAAAAAAAATTGGAGACTCGATGATCAAATGGGAAGGCCTAAAGAAACTTTCTTATCATAATAAATAAACTATCAACTTTGTTCACAATCCAGTGCACACGATCAGACAAACATATTAAAGTAGACCAGCACTTCATAAAAGAGAAACCGACCAGTGGTTTAATTTGTACTACTTTCATATCCACAGCAAATCAGCTCATAGATATGCTCATTGAGGGATTGTCTAGTTTTAGCCTTCAAGACTTAGCCACCAAGTTGGGAGTGGAAGACGTCCAATCACCAAAGGGAGTGTTAGATATTATGTAGTGTCATTATTGTAATTCTTGTGCAATATTTTGTGTTAAATAACTAGGAATTATGATAGAATCAAGGGATCATCAATATCTTAATTGAGCAATTTGTCTCCAGCATTTATTTTTCCTTCTCTTTCTTCTTGTATAAATACCCCATTTATTAATCATCAATGAATCATCAGAAATATTCAGAAATTTTTCACATCTGAGTAAGAGGGAATCTGATAGAGCTGATAAGTTCATTAAGACCTATAGGAGGAAATCAAGGGAAACTAAGAGGGCAGAAAAAGGATTCACCGCTGGTTCAAGTATTTGTCCTTTGAATCCTGGTGACAAGGAAAAGAAGTGCTAGCCCATTTATGTTTTGGGGGCTATCTAGAGGTATAGCCTATGTTGGGGACTGTGTAAGTCACTTTTTGGAGTCCTTATTGTCTTTCAGCCGTGAGGTTACATCCCAGGGATTATTTTGCATTGTGAGATAGTGAGGAGAGTCTGGCTTCTCAAAACGCCAGTGGTCCACTGTTGTTCTTGTGTTTCTTGTGATTTATGTACCGTTGCTTTTGTGGATTTCAGTTGGTCTTGTAACAGGGGAATGGGGTTTTGACAGAATCAGTGGAACTCTTATAACATTGATTCTGTTCTATCAAATTTCTATAGTAAAAACCCCAGTATTTTCGCTCATTTATTCCTTCTGCTGTCCTTTTCGGGAGTTATTTTCTCTTTTTTCAGCAGGCTTCTATCAGAATCCCTTGAAGCAAACATGAGCATAATACATGACATAGTATTAGAAACCATAGCACCCGTGAGATGGAGCATATCGAAAAGGGTTATGCCTACAATTCTTAACTATGTCCTATATGGATTTCTCAACCACATTTCTCTCCATCTTTTTCATATTCGTGTTTCCTTAATGCTAAAAGAATGAAGACTTTATCTTGACAACTAAGGCAATGGATGAAGCAAAAATGGTAAAGATCAGAAAATCAAAATGGAAGTACCAATAAAATCAAGAAAAAAAATATTCCAAGAAAATTGCATACTTTTCCCGCTCTGAAGGGGGACTCCATGCTGATAAAAGCATATCAGACTTGACATTAGGTAGGCAGTTTCTGACAACGAAATATTTTGTTGTAAATTGAGCAACACCAACATCCTTGTAATCTCGGTCAAAGTCATAGATCTAAAAGGTTGGCATAATGACACTAAATTAGCATACTCTAGCAAATTGAAATATGAAACAAAAGAATTAGAAAATTTTCAAGACTAAGCACTACCAACAATGAAATCAAAATATAAAGCATCTTAAAATGAGTAAAACCCACAAAAATGATCGAGAATATAAGAAACCAAGAAACAGATACAAGATCAGTTATGATATTCAATTTCTTGATTAAATAGATCCGCACAGATTAACTACCAAGAGTCCTTAGCTGGGATTCTCATGCAGATTCAAAATGCCCAGAGTCTCATCTCCAGAGAATCTTATGGAAAATCCGTTTCCAGTAGATGGGAATTTTAATTGCCCAGGTGCTAGAAAACCTATTTAAAATATAATTTAGCATAAGATGTACAAAAAAATTCAAAAATTGTACTGCATGAGACCTCATTAATACAGTTCCCCTCATTTGATTGAAAATTTTTGGAAGGGAGGGGAACTTTCCCCTTCGCTCATATTGTTTCCCTCCAATTTGGGGTTTTTGGGAGGAGAGTTAAAAAATTTTACTGTGTTACCCTCAGTTTTTTCTTGATATTTCATAAATGCCCGTGTTAAGAAACAAAAACTTCCCTTCTAGCACGTGAATAAATATCAGATGCAAGTGGAGGGTCATGGACAATGCTGATATTAAAAAATTGCTAAAACTGAAGGTAGAAGATGCAATGAAACATGGATTCTATGTTGTGTTCTTTTCTTCCTGTCTATTTACAAGCAGAATTTTGATGCCCAGTTATTCAAAGATAAAATAACAAAGAAAGAATAAAACCCTGTTCTAAACCTTCCTCCCATACTGGACATGGAAAAAAATTGAAGAAAAAAGTATGAACATCTAATATTTCATTCACCCTCTCCCAAAAGTATGAAAGAAGAATAATTAATATAAAATTTATTAATAATGCACAACATTTAAAAATTATAATTTAATTTAATTAAGGTGGAAAAATATTTTATATAAGGAACAATTTTTAAAAAATAAACTTAAACGCAGGGATATAATAGTAAATTAATTATAACCCCCCCCTTTAAAACCAAACACAGCCTTAGAGACAGGTTCATCAACAGTTATAAGGCAAGCCAAAAAGAGGGAGACAAAAAAGGAGGGCAGAGTAGGAGAACGCTAATATATAGCAAGACAAACGTAAGTGCTGGGATAGACAACAGAAGTTCATACTCAGCTTAAGAATTTTAACTGGACTCACAGAGCCAGTGGAAGGAAAAACATATGGAAGATGCATTTAAATTGTAGCATATTTGTTGCAAATCACACAATGTGATCATTCTCAGGTTGCAATGCCTTTCTTTTCTTATTTGCTAGTTGGCTCAATATTGTGTGCATGTGCATGAGTGAGATTGTAGTCAAAAGTTTATTAGATCTTTTACATGTCAAAATCAATTACAAACTCAAAACTATGATTTATAAAATAGAGTTTATATGATTTTTGGATAAATTTTTAGGCAAGTATAATCAAAAACTGGATTGAAAAGCAGGTAATAATAACTAATGGAATAACCATGGTTTTGGATTCATAACTGATTTTGACATGTAATAAGGATGTTTAGATATATCTTCACAAAACTATAGTTTTACTTGATTTTTTATTACGCTTTTCAACTATACTTAAATTCAACCTTATTAATCAATTTTATAAATCAATTATACCACATGATATAATCAACTATTTCAAAATCAATCATGTTAATAAATTTTATCTAACAGATAACACAACCTTACTTGATCATGTCACTAATGACATGATCTGTATCGATCATGTCATTAAACATAATTAGCTTCCAATTACGTCTTAATGACATGATATGACCCCCTGGAGAGCCCAACGGCTCTTTCCCTTTATTCTCCTTTATCATCATTTAATTATCTCTTATTTTCTTTCCTCTATCGTTGTTTCTCTTTCTTGCATATTTTTTTCCCTTTCCTTTTCTATCCTGGCAGTCATCAGTTTACATGATCATATAGAATAACTAATGGGCTAAGTTTTCTGACCCAAAGCCTTATCTAATCTCTTGTACAGCTCAACAGCTATAATATGAAAGATTAATACAGCTGCACGCCTCAGTTTCTTCTTCTTGCTCTGAAAAACCCTTCACTTCTATATTATTTCTCTCTTTTTTTTTTCTTCCTATCTTGGACGGGATGAAGTCATTTTACCCTCTAAATATACTGTACTCTTTGTTTGACTTGAATAATAAGAGAATCAGAGCATCTAAATACCTTCAAAATTACATTCTTACCATGTCATTAATTTCAGCTTCAGCAAAGGATTTCCCATCAACAAGCATGCTCCAAACAACTTTGTTAATTTGCAAAGATATATGCATAGCATATGAAGGACTTTTGTTCTTCTCCTCCATAAGCCGTAGTTGTGCAGCTTTCTGTAAAGCCATCCTTAATGATGCAGATGCGGCCTTTCTAGATTTTTGTGCACTAACAAGTTCTCTCATCAGTCCTTGAACCTGGCATTATAAGATGACTTCCGATTACCCATGCACATTTTTCATCTAGTGAAATATGCATATAAATATAATAGAGAAATAGCCAATACATCTCTATGCTTGTGGAAGGCAAAATCATAGAGAAAACTTTATATCCCAGAATTGCACAAACTCATTCCCCTAATCCCCACTCCCCACAAAGAAAAAAGAAAAGAAAAAAAAGATAACGATGATGATGATAGCAAAGTCACTTGATTAGAACCATAAATGCCACCACAAATAAATCCCAAAGAGCAACAGTTCAAATATTGCAATGAGCACAGAACTCCACGGTAAAAATCTAGATAGATGAAGAGAACAGTAAGCCATTCTAAAAAGAACAGAAAGCAAGTCATGTACTCAATGTCAAACAAGGGGTAAGAACTGAAGAGGAGAAAAACTGTCCAGAAAGAGAACTAGACGCTATGTAGCACAAGTACAAGTAGATGTATCATATCTGAAACAATAAAATATGCAGAAATGCCAGACTTCTAAAATTATAAAATATGGGCATGGCAAAGGATATTTGATAAGGTAGGATTTTGCAAGTGCATAATCATACCAAAAGACGAAAAGTCACAACTAGCAAAATACAATCACTGCAACCCAGAATCTAGCACAGACAATGCCGATAATACCCTTTAGGAGCCAGACATATCAATGCAGGACACATCAGTACGTGCCCAGAATGGATATCCAAGCAGAAATGGCAGTTATGTCCGTCATATTAGAAACTATCACTATCATTATATTTATGCATTTCACCCTGTTGACTTATGCATGAGTGAACCACATTGCAATCCGTCAGTGCTTTACTTGAGTTGAAGTAACTAATGTTATCTAACCTAACATAAATATTCAAGCAACATAAATGCAGAAAACTTGGGCTTTTCTACACCCAATGAGGTACACTTTTTATTTCATACCGCAGAAAATAAGAGTTTGGCTATTTCATACTGCATTGATAATTTTTCATCAATGTCTGTTTGCATGGTGTTTTATATAATGTAGCTCACTTATCCTCATCCTACGCACTCCTTTCCATCTTGGCTCTCCGCTGCTAATGAATTTATCAAACTCATCTTCAATAATTAAGTTCCACGCCCACAGAAATTACACCAAGCAACGCTCAGTCAACAGAAAAAGTAGAATATTTAATTCACAACATAAAATAGGAGTCACAACTATCCAATCACAATTATTAAAAGATTTTTTCCACATAGATAAGATTGTTAATGCAATTCATTTCTTACCAGAAGGGATCTTCCGCTGGTTATCATCCACAAGTCACTTTCCTTTTCAGGATATAAATCTCCAGAAGTATCACACCAAAGAGACAATTTTCTGATATCATCAAGAATAAACTTCTGTTCCCTTTCTTTCTGTTCAAGGTTGACTTTTGCAAGTTCCACCTCTTCTACACCATCAGGAACCACCTCATCTGCTTCTTCTTGGATGTCCTCATCATCTTCAGCAGGAAATGACAGGCTACTTTTCCGAGGTCTGAATTATGTACAATCCTCAATTAATTTGAAAGCTCATAATGCATCAGGTAGCACAGAACAATATCAAGAACTTCATCACTTTAAATGTTGAAAATATAAAAAGGTCAATTCTCATGCCCAACCATAAATCAAAACCAAACAAACATCATACTGATGTAGACAAATTAGATAACAGTAGAAACATCTAACTCATGTAAATCTCTATCTTTTTATGGCCATCAGCTTATGAACTATCTAATTATGCCAAAGTGTACCTGCAGTTGATTAAGGATTAGGGATGCTAATAAAACCTCCCTTGGACCTTCTCCTTAGAGTGTGCATGGAATTTGGATTGAGAGGAAGAGAGAGAGGAATTTTAATTTATATAATATCTTCTATTTAGATAAAATATATTTTTTTTTCTGTGGGACTAAATAATATTTATTTAAACCCAAATCAAAGAAATATCTGAAAATTTTCCCTCCATTCTCCTCTGTCCAAAATTACCCTAACGGCTTTATGAATTGATGAGTTTGATTCTTGCTCCCCCAGGGAAAAAAGAATTTCGGCAGAAATTATGTGAGTCCCAGCTACATTCATACTTCCAGCCCCAACATGCTTGACTTGGCATGTGTGTTAATGTTTTTCAAGAAAAAAAAAATTTATTGATTAACAAAAGATACAACATACAGAGATAGAGGAAAAATTCCCTCCTTAAACATAAGAAAAGGAAAAACATAAGGAAAAGGAAAGAGAGGAAAACAAAGAAAGCAATTAGAATCTTTCTCTCGATAGAACCTTGGCCTTTGAAGATCCACAAGTATTAAGCCCAAATATGGAAGGATCTATTTTACAAAGAATAAAGGAAATGGGTCCACATCTGATGGTGAGGTGGTGAGTGCATGAAAGGCACATAGCTAACTCTCACATGCTGGCTGAGATTGTTATTCCTTTCTTTTCTTTTTCCTTGGAGGGTGTGAGGAGGGGGTGATTGTTAGTTTTCATCTAAGCGAGCACTTGAGGTGTAAGAACAATGCAAGCAGAATCACCAGAAGAGTGCACTGGTCTCTCAAATACCAGAAAGTGTTCTTTTCCTTTATGCATCCATTTAGGTTTTTTCTAGCTGTATCAACATCTTCGTATCCCTAAACTTGGGAACGAAACTCTATTTTGTTCCTGAATAATATCAGAGTTGAGTAGCTCAATCTCCTTTTTAAAACCTATTGCATTCCATTCTAACTAAATTCATTATAAACCAGCAGGAAATGTGCATTAAAAACCTATAAACTTGATAGTTGATAGCTAGGAAAGCTCAAAGATCAGCTGGACAAACTCTCCTCAGAGTAACCATTGTTTGACGTGTGTTAATTTTACTAAACCATTATTTGGTTTTTATTAAAGAAAGAATAAATAAAGAATTAAACCATTACTATCCATTTTCCCAACAACATAAACTTATGGAGTGAATTGGCCCCTGACAAAAAAGAAAACTATACTATCGCATCTGATCGAGTACTTAATGGTGTAAAATAATAAATGTAGTGCCAACGTTATAAATATAAATATGGAGAATGCCTGCTTCAGATAAGTTACATTGATATAAGTGAAGTGATCATATTAGTATTTGAAGCATGACAGAAACAAAAAAATTAATTCAGAATGAGAGCAGAAAGAGATAGAATGAAGGAGGGAGGGATTGTCATTACTTTGGAAGACGAGCAAAGAGAAGATTAGTCAACACATCCAGCATAATCTGAAACTGACGAGAAGTCATTGTTGCCGTTATGTTTTGAGAATGGAAAGTGAGCTCCTTCAAGGGCTTCACCTGAAGCAAAGAGTTAACGTAAACATTTGACATACAATACTTAGCACAGGATACAAGACATAGAACTAAAGAAGCATACACTTTAAAAATAACAATGTCTGCAAAGAAATGCATGTATCCAGGAAAAAAGCATTACTATGAATAAACACATAGATAGGATGTCAAAATGGGAGGAATAGGTACTTACTTTCAGTTCTGGAGTCCCCCCTTTGTGCCTTGTATAACGGAAGTACATATCACAAGGCATAAACACTCTCTCAAGAAGAGCACCAGTACGCATTACTTTTGGAGAGTTTCTAAGAATTTTTGGGAGCCACTGTAATCCAGCTCCTGGATCAACATCTGTTGGGGCAACATGGGCCTGCACGTGCTCCAACATAACAGAGAACTCCATTCTCTTCCATGTCATTTCAGGTTGATATTCGCTAATGTGTACATTTGTATTACCAAGTGCTTGCTCAATCATCTCATACCCAACATGAAGGACTGAATGAAATGACCGTGCTAAAACACGACCACTAACAGCAGCAAGCAAAAACCTACCCTGTTTGGCAAGAAAAGAGGAGGCTCTAAAGGCATGAGTAGAAAAAGTGTGCACTTTCATGGACTAAATATATTATATATGTGTGTGTGTATATATAATTTTAGATTTTCATATCTAATAAGTAAAATCAAATGAAGCATCAAGGAGGTGCAAAACTATATACATAATTGTCATAGTCATTTCTATAAAAGGACAACATACCATTGATGGGAGTTCAACAACTAGGTATTACACCTATCTACGGGGGTAATGCCTTAACTTGACAGAGTAAAAAACAATTTTTTGTGGCGAAACGTAGTGCCAAGGCAACAAATAGAGCTCTTTCAAGGGGCACTTGCGAAGGTTTGTAGCTCAAGCAACTCCTAGAAAAAATAAATTCCTATGCAAGGACCTATGGAGCTTGACATAAATTTTATATAAGAAAAACTTGACTCCAAGATCATTAATCTGAATCACATATCAACTTAGATACCGGTGGCAGATATTCTCACCAAAGCTTTACCTAGAGTCGAGTGTGAAAAACTAACAAGCAATATGGAAATTTTGAATATCCATTCACTACCTTGAGGAGGAGTGTTGCTAGATATTTGAATCTTTGCTATTTCTATTAATTAATTTTCATTTTAATTTAGTCAGTTGTAGCCTAGACCTAAGAGAACACTCTTGAAAATTGTTGAACGCAATCTCTCAATTAATAATATTCCTAAAAGCTTGGTAAATGATAGAGCACAATGGCATCTTGCAATCCATGTAGCCGACCCCACCTAGTGGGATAAAGGTTTGTTGTTGTCGTTAGTCGGTTGTAGCCTAGATCATAGGCTTTAGAATATCTCAACATATCTTTGAATATTTCTACGTCTATGATCAAGTTACAATCTTATCTTAAAAAGTGATTAATAAAAGCAAGACCCAAAGTGCTTTAGCACAAGTTTCTCCAGTGATATTCACTCACAAAATTCTACAACACTCCACCTCAGTAGAGTACCAATCAAGCAACAACATTTTTGGGCCAAAAAAATAAGGGTTAAGAATATTGTATACGAAAGGTCACAAATGCCCCTAAACTCAACTATAGGTAAATTCTGTCCCTCAACTTTTAAAATTCTCTTTGTTGTCACCCTGCCGTTTTCCAACGGTCAGTAGGTCCCACATTATATTTTTTTAATATTTTTTATTACAAAATATTTGAGTTGAGGGGCAAAATGTCCCTTCGAGAATAGAAGTTAAGGGACAAAAATGACCCTTAACCTGATAAAAAATATTAAAAGAATAGTAAAATCCACTTATGACTAATGGGCGTTCAGTGTTTTTAATGTCCGAGCAATGAAGGAGAAAATCTTCAAAGTTAAGGAACAAAATTGACCCACAGTTGAGTTTATGGGCATTTATGACTTTTTGTATACAATTCAAGGATAAAAAATGACCTTTAACCCAAAAAATAACAACACTAAAACGTGAAATAGTCTACAAGGAGAATTTGATAATTTGACATAAGTTCCAAAAAATACTTGTAAAGCCCTTAAAAAAGTTTGCAAGTTAAAATAAAACCCAGCCATTAAATGCTAGGGAACCACCACAATCTAGAGCCAATCTTAAGTAGAGGTGAGGAAGTACATGTCCAACAATATAACTTTAAAGGGGAACTGAAGAGCACATTCATATAAAAGTCAAAAAGCCAAGAACTACATAGAAGTAGCAAGAAAAGGAAATGTTGTTAAAAGAACATGCAGAAGTGTTTGTGAGCACTGCCAACTTGAATGATTTGCTTCAGGCTGAATCTGGAAGAGAGAAAATGGTTGGCTTGTGCAACAAAAATCAATAATTAATATATAATGTATATGCACAAATATAAGTACTTAAGGAAAATAAATTTACAGCAAAAGATTATATTTGTGCTACTCTCCAGAATGAGCGATTAAGAATGAGGTTGAAATGCAGCATCAGTGTTAAGAGAGAAAGACAGAAGAGAAGAGAAGAGAAGAGAAGAGGAAGAAAGAGACCATTCCATTCATAATAATCCAACAGGCAGGGCACAGCACATATATCCTAAACCTAAACACGTGTCAAGTAAGGTCCTGCACTATCAATACTTCCTAAAATTCAGCAACATATAAAAAGGTAGTAATAAAATAACACAAAGACAAGAAAGCCTCTAAATAAAGTAGTAACATATAACAATACTCCTCCCCTAAAAAGCATCCTTGTCCATAAGGATGGAAGTAGGAGCAGGTGCCTGAATATTGAAGTGAGGAAATTGTTGTTTGATGGCTGAAAGATCTTCCCATGTGGCACCTTCAGGCTAGGAAAACTTCCAACGAATAAGAACTTGAGTGACGGGCAAGTTATGGGGCTTAACAATCTTCTAGCCAAAATTTCTTCCGGTTCTAACATAAATTGGCCATGATCATCAATTGGTGGTAAGGTAGAATGAAGAGTAACATCTGGATGAACAAACCTTTTTAACAAAGAAACATGAAACTCCGAATGAACCTGAGTATGAGAAGGCAAGGCCAACTCATACGCAACAGCTCGAATGCACTTCACCACTCTAAAAGGCTTAAAGTAACGAGCAGCTAGCTTATGCAAGGAAGAATTATTCAATAAATTCTTCCGAAAGGGATGCAATTTGAGGAAGACCATATCCCCCACATTGAAGTGTCATCCGAAACGGTGCTTGTTAGCTTTTTGCACTATCTGATATTCAGCCTTCAACAAGCGTTGCTTCAATAGTTGCAAGGTGAGCTCTCGAGGGGTGCAAGTCCTATCAACCATCTCATTGGGTGAGTCACCCACTATATAGGACAAATGAGTGGGAGGAGGTACACCATAAACTATCTCAAAAGAAGTCATCCCATGCCACAATTTAGCTAGTGGGAGCCACTTAACCTATTGTTTTGGAAAATCACTGGTCATGCAATGGAGATATCACTCCAAGCAACAATTAAGCACTTCTGTATGGCCATATGTTTTGGGATGGTAGGCGAAAGAAAAATGCAACTTAACTCCATATAATCTAAAAAGTTCCTTCCAAAATTTACCACAAAAGATTGGATCGCGGTCAGAAACAATGGATTTGGAAAAACCATGCAACTTGACAACATTATCCATAAATATACCAATGACATCCACAGCAGTAAAAGGATGCTTCAATGCCATAAAATGAGCAGCCTTAGATAGGCGATCAATGACCACAAAAATAATGGTTTTAAAGTAAGACTTAAGAAGCCCACTAATAAAGTCCATAGAGAGTTCAGACTAGATATGTTCACGTATAGGTAATGGCTGGAGAAGCCCTAGGGAGGCAACCAACTTGAGCTTAAAGCATTGGCAAGTGGTGTATTGACGCACATAGTTGCGGACATCTCTCTTCATCCCTTTCCAATAAAAGAAAGAAGCTAATCTTTTGTAAGTTGAATTCATGCCGGAATGACCACCAATAGCATCAGCATGAAAGAATTGAAGCAAATCCTCTCGAAGTCCACGATTAGCCCCTACTATAAGCTCACCCTTCCTTTTCAACAAGTGGTGCTCCAATGTGTACTTAGAATTGGACAAGGGATCATGTTCGAGGCTCTTAATTAGTTGCTGCAAATGATTAGCAAGAAGCTAAGAGTCACGCACTCTATTATATAGGGGAGAAATAGGCGTAGAAATAGCCAAACAATCCCCACTAGAGCGTCAGCGGCTGTATTATTGCAACCCTTGCCCTTGGAGTAGACGATGTCGTAGTCGAGGCCCCAGAGCTTATGAAGCCATTTACACTGTTCTTGGCTTAAATCCCGCCAGTCTAGTAAATGTTTCAGGGGTAAGTGGTGAGTTTTAATAATGAATTTTCACCCCCAAAAGTAGGAACACCATTGCTTGATGGCAAAAACAATAGCTAGCCGCTAACATTCATAAGCAAATAACTGGCGCTTGCGAATAGAAAGGGCCTTGCTAGCAAAAGCTAAAGGGTGGCCCTTTGGAGATAAAATTGCTCATAAACCACGTCCTGAAGTATCAATCTCAATCACAAAAGTTCATGAAAGTCATGAAGGGCAAGCACCGAGGGAGAGATGATAGCATTCTTGAGGGATTCAAAGGCTGCCTGAGCTCGTGGAAACCACACAAAACATTCATTCCTCTTTAATAATGCTATTAGGAGGCTACTAATAGAACTATAACTCTTGACAAAACATCGGTAATACCTAATGAGACCAAGAAAACCTTGTAATTCCTTAACTGAAGAAGGAATAGGCCAAGATGCTATTGCTTTAAGTTTCTTTGGATCTGCCTGAACGCCATGAAAAATGATAACATGGCCAAGATAATCTATGTGATTCGCGACAAAAGTGCACTTAGAAGACTTAGCAAATGGTTGATGCTATCGTAATAGTGATAATGTCACTGTCAAATGTTCCAAGTGAACTACCCAATGTTTGCTGTAAACCAAAATATCATCAAAGAAGACTAAAACAAACTTCCGCGAGAAGGGTCGAAAACCGATTTCACAAGACCCTGAAAAGTAGCAAGAGCATTGGTAAGGCCAAAAGGCATAACCATAAATTCGTACAAGCTGTCATGAGTGCGAAAAGCTATCTTGTCAATGTCCACTTCATTCATTCAATCTAATGATAATTGGCACGTAAATCCAATTTAGAGAAAAATTGAGCTCCATTAAGCTCATCTAAGAGTTCTTCTACAATTGAAATTTGAAATTTGTTCTTAACGATAGCCTCATTCAACCTCTGATAATCAACACAAAAACGCCATGTGTCATCTTTTTTCTGTACTAAAACAACTGGAGCGGTAAAGGAACTATGGCTTTCCCTAATAATCCCATTATCAAGCATCTGTTGCACTTTCTTCTCAATCTCAAATTTCTAGACAAGCCCATACCAATAAGGCTTACATAGAATCAGATGATTCACTTTGAGGGAAATAATGTGATCAAAAACACGTGATCGGGGTAAAGTAAAAGGTTCAACAAAAACATCCAGAAGTGAGTCTAAAATAGCTTA